AGTAGGCAGCTCAACATGTGTTGACAAGAACTTTGATCGTAATTCTCTGCCAGTATGCTCAAGTAGCTGCATTGAAAACCAAGGATGTGAGTCCAGTGCATCAGCTCCAATAAATCAGCAGATGCTTGACTTGAATTTGACACTTTCTTTCCAGGAAAAGTTGAATGATCCCAGAATTACATCGATGTTAAAGAGGAAGGCAAGACAAGGAGATCTTGAACTTAGTGTTCATCCTTGATACCGTGGTTGTTGGAGTTTTTTTCGTCCAGAGCCTATAAACCTTATAAATGCGGCACACCAACAGGCATGAAAGTTAACTTGTGTTTCAGTAAAGTTTTGTATATAAATTAAGTTTGATTTTTTCAATTGTTTCAAACTATTTCTGCAGTTTGAATTTGGCATTGTGGTGTTGCTTTTGTCTCCTGTCATATGTTCAATACTGGCGTTCCTTTGGTCTCTTCAACTGGAAGAGCTAGCCATGACTTCGAAGCCATGCAACGTATTTTTCCTTTCAATCCCTCCTCATCATGCTTTTATAAAATTTTCTACATTTTGTGTTGTCTCTTTCTTATTTTTTGGCTTCCTATTTGTGTATTTATGTGACAACCAAAGTTGGTAAACCATTGTTCATTCTATTTACATGTCCAGAACATTTAATTCAAAATCGTTATTAAGATGGATGCTATGATATCCAAAATGGCATTGTGTAATAGTTTACTTTTTCATGAATACTTGGCTTTTTCCATTAGGATTCATGCCTACTGCTTCACTTCAAGTCTATTGTCTCTCCGTACCTCAAGTGACAAATGAATTTATCTTATGCTTATATCTTCAATAATCTTAAATTCTTAACATTTATGCAGTATGGATTTATAGCTTGGATGCTAAGCACTTGTGTTGGCTCGCCTCTTTCGTTCCTAAGGTAACACTGACATGTCTTTTCAGGTCTGCATTTTACTCCCTATGTTTCAACGGCATGGATCTTTTAACATGAGTTTCAATGTCATATTTTGGCATTATTTCAATTGAGGCAATTTGGGTGCACTTCAATAAAAACATTTGATGGTTCCAACCCCCGACACTCCGTCTGGCCTGGCCCTTATGCACCCCTGCAAATTGCACTCCTAAATTATGTTGACTTTGCGTTCATTTTTGACTCCAAAGCAAAAACTTAGGGGTGCAATTAGGAGGAGTGCATTAGGGCTGGGCCAAACCGGGGGGGGGGGGGTGTTTCTAGGGGCTAGGGACCATCAACTTTTTGATAGGAACACTGTAGGTACTCAATGCCAGAATATGACATCCAATTTAAATGTCAAAAAACTGCGGTGCTGTTTCATATGGCTTCCTAGTTTTTGAAATTGTTCTCCCATTACCCTTTATGAAAACAATTGTGTTGGTCGGGCAAAAAACCCCGTGCTCCAGTGACATCATTGTGGCTCTCCCAAATTGGACCCGTGTGGGGGAATTGACTCTATGTTTTTCAGTACATTGCACAAATACTACATTGTAGCAAACTTAATAGTGCTAAAAAATGGGTTATAATTTTTCCCTCTTTCTAAATAAATCTCAACACACCACTTTTGTAATAATTGTGCCAAGAACAGGCAAAAACGTAGCTAGGGATGGAGAGAGTATTTATTATTATTATTATTATTATTATTATTATTATTATCACTATTACTATTACAATTCATATCACTATTATTATTATTTTGTCATCATCATCATCATCATCATCATCATCGTCATCACCATCATCATAATAAGGGAACTGACAATATATATCCATTATGACTTATACATGTGAAGAACGTGATATATATAGATAACTCTTTAGATGAATCAATTATTGTTGGTAATAACTTAGATATACGTTCAACATGCTCTATGGTTTTCTTTCTTTTTAATACCATGTAAGTATGAACAATTCCAAAGTGCTAGTGATCCATTTTGATCAGTTTTGGAGTGAAGTAATCTACAATTCAATAATAATTTTGTAATAAAATTTTAATCTTGAAGTATCTGCGTCAGTCTTTTTTTGCATTTAGTGGTTATTTTGTAAAGATAGTATCGGGTAAAGATTGCATCTGGTATGTAACAACTATGTCTCATTTTGTGGCTACAATTGCATTTTAATCCCTTCCATTAGGGTTAGTATTACCCATGATGCTTATTGTTGCAAATACTGAAGAAGTCCAGCCATGCATTCTCACTTGCCCACATTTATTTATCTTTTTGCAAATGGACCAAAGTTGCTCCTTCCTGGCTTGCCTCTGGTTTTAGCCAGGAGCCAGCCAGGTGCTCCGCTCCCATGGACATGCATATCTATTCATTTATTTTGCATTTATTAATATTATTTTTGCAAATGGTAATGTGCTCGGATACCATTGTTTTATGCCTTGTGACGTCTTGTTTCCTCAAATATTACTATTAATTCTTTTTTGAGTGAATTGTAACATGTATTTCATCTAGCATGCCTCTCTTTTGCAATTCCAATATGGGTTCATAATGGCTATCAGTTTTGTGTGTCAAGAATTGAGAATGGAGGTGGAGCAGGAAATTATCAAACTTTGGGAATGAAACGGGTAAAACTGTTGTATTATCAATTNNTGTAGTGGTGCTTTAATTTATACTGTATAATGTATGGTTGCTTTGTTGATGGATTGGAAATGGTTACCATCTTCTATAGCTGTATTGGCGTTTGATGTGAGCAGGCTCTTCTAGAATATGTCTGTGGGCTTCTCTCATTTCCTGTAGAATCTTCTCCCATTGTTAGAGTTCATTCAGACATGCAAATATGCAATATTTCCCACGGGTTTCACAAACATCATGCTTGAAAATTGAATGAATTTATTTTGCAGGGTGTTCTATTTGCCTACATGTCTTTATTTGCTGGATCTGTTGTAGCTCTTGGAGTGATAGTGTCTGCAAAACCATTAGATGATTTAGGGTACAAGGGGTTGACTGTTGATCAGAATGTTGTTACCTCTCCTTATGCATCATCTGTTTACCTTGGTTGGGCAGTGGCATCTGCAATTGCTTTATTAGCTAGTGGCTTGCTGCCCATCATATCATGGTTTGTAACATATCGGTTTCCCCTCTCATCTGGTATTTCTATTGGTGTATTTGCAGGTAATTGATTCCTTCTCACTTTAAAGAAGTGTTCAGGTTATTTTCTTTGACATTTGTTCACCTGCAGCACTAATGCCGATTGACACTCTTTCTACTCTATCTGTTTGTAGCTGTTCTTGTGGCATTTTGTAGTGTCTCGTATTTGAAAGTTGTGAGTTTGAGGGTTGATCAAGTCCTGATGAAGGAAGACTTCTTGGCTGCATTGCTTCCACTGTTATGCATTTTTGCAGTCCTTTCACTTTCTTCTGGTTTATTTAAATGGTAATGTTGTTTGCCAGAACCAACTGATCTTTAACAAGCTTATACGGATTCATTTCACACTTCTAAACCATTGCACTTGAATTGTAAGATGTGAGCTGCTCCTCATTTAGAGTAACTCTATTGTAAATATTATCAGGAAAGATGATAACTGGAAGCTTTATCGAGGTGCCTATATATTCATTATTATTGGTCTTCTTCTTCAGCTTGGTGCCATTTCGGCCATCATAGTTACAGTGCATCCTTGGAGGGTAACTCAATACTATTGGTTAATTTATCTCTTATTATTGTTTATCTCTAAGGAGTTTCACTTCATATTATGACAGATAGGAGCAACATTTCTCTTAGTTCTCCTCCTTCTAGTTCTAGCTATCGGTGCGATTCATTATTGGGCCTCAAATAATTTCTATCTGAAAAGGGTTCAGATGCTAGTTGTTTGTTTTCTAGCGTTTCTTGTGGCTTTGGCGGCCTTTCTTGTTGGATGGTTTCAAGGTAAGATCACTTTCTTATATATCACTCGTGATGATATGATTCACAGATCACCATATGACTCCTCGGCATAGTTGTTACGGCGACTAGGCGAGGCTGGGCGCTAGACCACCTTCCACACGCCTAGGCGATTAGGCGCCCGCCTAGGCGTCCCTTGGGCGAGTGGGATATGTCAATATTGATATTTTTTAAGTACTAATGTAAACACGAATAGTATGAAATAAATAAATAAAATGATTAAATAGTACAGTGATACTAAAAAAATAAATATCAAAATGTTGATAATATATAAATAGGGAGTATAAAAAAATCAAAGAAGCAACTCATCAAGTCAGATGCCAAACGAGATGAAGAACAAAACCTTTAGGTATAGAATAGTACGAGTAATTAGAAACTGCAATATTCAGAATAGTTCCCAGTACAGTACCCCCACTACTCCAGTACCCCCACTACTCCATCTCCATAAATGTACAGTACCCACAAAGTCTTTTCTTTTAATTTTTAGAGTAGTTCCTAGTGTACAGTACCCCCACTACCCATTTATGTTTTCTAAAATAAATTTAGGTGTATAAACTACCCGACCCGACCCTTAAAGTCTTGTTCCTTTTACTTTTTAATGGGTCGTTAGTAGTAACCCGCGAGTAGCCGGCAATTACTCGTAAATCTTTTAATTAAGCCGACAAGAAGCAAATTCACTTCCTAGCCCGACCCGCATCGCATCTTCAAAGATCGAATCGTCCCTGAATTGGACGATTATACGATTGGGATCCACGTTTTTACCTTCGATTCCGGATCTTTGCTGCGATTCAGATTTTTCCAGGTAACCTGCCGCGTTTTAATCGATGACAAGTTACCTTCGATTCCGGATCTTTGCTGCGATTCAGATTTTTCCAGGTAACCTGCCGCGTTTTAATCGATGACAAGTCAAATTCTAGGCGGAAAAAGCTAGACGACCAATTTGGCGTCCCCAATATCTCGCCCAGACGCCTAGGCGTCGCCTAGGCAACGCTTAGGCGATGCCTTGATAACTATGCTCCTCGGATAATGACCAATATCAATTTGCATGCTTCGTAATGCTTGATTGGATTTTTGGTTTTTTCCAGACAAGGCTTTTGTTTGTGCATCCGTTGGTTACTTCTCATTTCTTTTCCTACTAGCTGGAAGGGCATTGTCTGTGAGTTGATCATTCTTGAAATAATAATTTAGGGCTGAGAATG